AACTAGACCCAAGGGCAGGTTTTTCCCGAATGCCATCACTCTGCTAAACAAATAATTCCCTCAACACTGTCAATAATTTACTAAGCCTGTATTACTATTATTCTTCTCTTTCTTCCTAGTGTCTATCTCTCCCCACTTATGACTATAACCATGTTGCTTGTATCTTTCCGTTATATTGTTTTAATTTGTTTCCTAATATGATTTGATAGCTTATTAGTAACCTATGACTATCACTAAGTTGCATCTTATGGTTCTTGATGAATGTATTTTATTTTTCTTATGTACACTGAGAGCATCTGCACCAAAGACAAATTCCTTGTGTGTCCAATCACACTTGGCCAATGAAGAATTCTATTCTATTCTATTTTCTATTCTATTCTATTTTCTATTCTATTCTATTTTCTATTCTATTTTCTATTCTATTCTATTTTCTATTCCAATTCTATATTCTATTCCAATTCTATATTCTATTCTATTCTATATTCTATTCCAATTCTATTCTATTTTATATTTTCTTCTATTCTCTTCTATTCTCTCTTCTATAGTCTCTCTTCTCTTCTTATTCCATTATTCTATTCTATTCCATTCCATTCTATTTTCTATTCTATTCTATATTCTATTCCAATTCTATATTCTATTCCAATTCTATTTTATATTCTATTCTCTCTTCTACATTCTCTTCTATTCTCTCTTCTATATTCTCTCTTCTCTTCTTATTCCATTATTCTATTCCATTCCATTCCATTCTATTCCAACATCATTCATTCATGGATTTGGAGTCCAAGATTGCAAAGGCTTTTGGCTCTCACAGGGACCCCTATCTCAAAGAAGCTCTCTTTGGAAGGTGGTCAGGGCTCTTAAAAGCCACCAAATACATCTTCCTCAGTCAGAGAATAATAGCGTATGCCTTCCACTGAACCTTCGAAGGCAGAATCGGAAATAAGATTTTCGATTCAATCCTTCCTTTTCTTTGTATGTGTGTGTGTGTGTCGGGGGGGGGGGAGTGTTTTAAAATAAACGAACAAAAAGTAAGCACCTTTTTTCTTAGAAAAGCATCCTGGGATGGTCCAGCCGGATTCTTATGATGTTATTTTGAAACGGTGGGGTAAGAAAATGGCCCCCACCCCCACTCCTCCAGCAAGCTTGCTTCTCTCCCTGGTTAACTGCATGGAAAGGGAACCCCACCCCACCCCCACCCCGTAAACCTTTGGTCTTTTGCCTCCATCCGCAATAGCTCTTTTTGTGCAGAATTAAATCTCAGCTATTGTTGCTGGGAGAAAGAGGGAATGAGGATGGAGAGAGAAGAAGAGAGAGAGAGACAAAGAGCATGCAAATATACACAAAGGAGAGGGTTGGTGTGGGGGGGGGGGAGGCTTGGATGGACAGGGAGTATATAAATACCTGATGTTTGGCTCAGCGACCAGCTTCTTCCAGCTCCCCCGTTATTCGCAGTAGAAATCTCTTTTAGCTGCTAGGTCGCTTGAGGTGGGGGGGGGGTATATTTCCCCTCTCCCCACAATGTTCTGGGTATCTTCTTAGGGGAGGGGGGTGAAAAAAATCCCCAGCTAAAAGACAATGGAATCAGGCAGTCACCCCCGTCCTTAGATGATCTCGCTGTCTATTTTTCCCCTCAACTCCCCCTCTGAATATGTCTTTCCCTCCCCCCCCACTTCTTTTGCACATAAAGCGTTAAAAAAAAATCTCTTGACTCCAACATCCATTCCTTGCGCAGCAAGTTACCCCCGTCATAGCAAGCTCAGCCTCTTTTCTTTTCTTTTTTTTCCTGCAGGGAAAAAAATAAACTCCAGCTGGAAAGGAACCAGCTCTAAGCTCCCTTGGATGAGATCCCAGTGGGGGGATTCCCAACTGGGAGAAAATCGCATCCTTTGAGGTGGAGGAAATAGAAGAGTAGAGAAGAGCAGAGAATAGAATAGAATAGAATAGAATAAGGAATAGGATAGAAATGAATAAAATAGAATAGAGAATAGAATAGAGAATAGAATAGAATAGAGAATAGAATAGAGAATAGAATAAGGAATAGGATAGAAATGAATAAAATAGAATAGAGAATAGAATAGAGAATGGAATAGAGAATAGAATAGAGAATAGAATAAGGAATAGAATAGAATAAGGAATAGAATAGAATAAGGAATAGGATAGAAATGAATAAAATAGAATAGAGAATAGAATAGAGAATAGAATAGAATAGAGAATAGAATAGAGAATAGAATAAGGAATAGGATAGAAATGAATAAAATAGAATAGAGAATAGAATAGAGAATGGAATAGAGAATAGAATAGAGAATAGAATAAGGAATAGAATAGAATAAGGAATAGAATAGAATAAGGAATAGGATAGAAATGAATAAAATAGAATAGAGAATAGAATAGAGAATGGAATAGAGAATAGAATAGAGAATAGAATAAGGAATAGAATAGAATAAGGAATAGAATAGAATAA